CCCCCCCCCCCTCTCCCCCGCAGATCTGATCAGAGCGACGCAGTCTGCGGAGATCTTCCTGCTGGGCAGCGCTGCGCTCGCCAACCTCACGTTCCTGGCGGACGACGGGCTCGTGGCCGCCATGTTGGCCGCCGACACGCCATCCGTCCTCCTGCAGGCCGCCAACACGTCTCATGGCCTGTCCGTCTTCACTAAAGATCAGGTCGGAACTTTTAATTATGTGTACAATAATTCTAAAACCGAAATTAGAAATTATGGGGAAATTTATTTCGATTCGCCGACTTCGTATTTATAAATATTACATTTAAATGCTGGTATTGAATCTATTTACTCATATAATTTTGCGTTTAAAAAATGAATTCATATCTATAATTTTTACGTGCAGACTTCAAACTATAGTGAATAATTCTAGATAAAAAAAATTAATTGAATATGCGTAATTGTGATACACAGATAGCGACGGTGGTTAATTCATATTTATAATTATTACGTGCATAATACAAACTATATTGAATGATTTTGGCTAAAAAATTAATTGAATATTCGTAATTGTGCTGCACAGATAGCGACGGTGGTGAGCAGCGTGTGCAGCAGCAGTGCAGGCGCTGCAGCCGTCGTGGCAGGAGGTGGGATAACAACCCTCCTGCAGCTCCTGCACACCCCCCCACCCCCACACCCCGCCAGGATGCCTGAGATCACCGCCACTGAGCGCGTGCAGCAGAAGGCAGCCATCGCCATCTCCAGGTAATATTATTAGTATTATTCCTATTATTATTATTATCGTTATTATTATTTATTTTATTTATTTATTCCTATTATTATTGTTATTTTGTATAGTTATTATTATTATTATTATTATTTTTATTAAATATTATTATCATATCTTTTTTTGCAGAACATAATTTGTCTTGTGTAATTTATATTACAAAGAATAAACACTGAGAGAAATTTGTTAGACTTTGTTCTAATAGTGATGCCTTTTTAGCGCATTTTCTCATTTATGAAAAAAATGCACTATTGTGCTCGCTATGTCCGTCTGTCTGTCCGTCCGTCTGTCTGTCCGTCCGTGACTTCACGTTTTCGTCGACGAGAAAATGCGCTCTCTGTCACTCACTACAGTGAGTACTTATCTATTTTTTTTAATTCATATTGAACTTGTATGAATGTATGAAGACTGCGTGTGTGCTGCAGACTGTGCAGCGATGCAGAGTGCGCTGCAGAGGTGCTACAGGACGGCGGAGGGGCGCGTCTCGTGAGGCTCTGCAGAGACGAGGCAGAGCGCAACCACAGCGACGCCGTCCTCGTCGCTTGTCTCGTGAGACGCAATATTCATTTAGGATTTATTAACTCATTTACAGGAGGTTTTGCTATCATATTTATTGTAATTCGACGTCATGAGATAATTTAATAAAATGATCAATTATTAATCATATACGGCAAAGTGAAAAAAGGCGATTCAAGATGGTACAATGCTGAATTAGATAATAATAAAATATGAATCAGTCTATTAATTCATTTGCAGCATTTATTCATTTACCTACTGGATAGATTCATTACTAAGCCGAATCCGTCAGTTATCGCATACCTTAACTATTTAATGATGGGAAAAGTTAGGATTTCCCTTCGGGCCGTCTTGACCATTCAATGATGTGAAATATTTGGGTTTCCCTCAGTCCATCTTGACCATTAAATGATGTGAAATATTTGGGTTTCTCTCAGTCCGTTTACCATTAAATTATGTGAAATATTTGGATTTCTCCTCAGTCCATCTTGACCATTAAATGATTTGAAATATTTGGGTTTCCCCTAAGTCCATCTTGATCATTAAATTATGTGAAATATTTGGGTTTCCCCTAAGTCCATCTTGACCATTAAATTATGTGAAATATTTGGATTTCTCCTCAGTCCATCTTGACCATTAAATGATTTGAAATATTTGGGTTTCCCCTAAGTCCATCTTGACCATTAAATTATGTGAAATATTTGGGTTTCCCCTAAGTCCATCTTGACCATTAAATTATGCGAAATATTTGGGTTTCCCCTAGGCCGCCCTTCGCAAGATCGCTTCTTCGTGTGAGAAGGAAAAACTTCGCGACATCGGAGCCGCCGAACTCGTCGAGCCTCGCTTGCTGGACTCTTTCCTCACATTCTCTTCCAGACAGGAAAGCTACGTGTGATTTGGAATCAGTCAAGCTTCAACTTTACATAAACTTGATTTGCTTTACATTAAAAAACGTGTATTAAACTGAAAGATTGAAATGTTTATACTCGTGAAAAAATAAACGACACCGTCACGAATACGTCTTTACTTGCGCTGCCATCCCGTAAGTCTTCATTTAAATTAACTCGACGATATTCACACATCGGAATCATATTTGATGAAGTATTTAATTACCGGTTTAATTTTGATTTCGGTCGGGCATCGACTTTCTATCCTAAAGTTTGATATGCTCTCAGAATACGTTAGCCTATGTGACTGTAACACCATTTTCGTCACTCTATTTTTGCATCATCATCCCACCGAATATATTTTACACAAACTCTTGATTTCTTCAGGAACTCGATTTCTACCGGTACTCGTTAGCGATCGTCTTCTTTCCTGTCAGCTTCTGATTGTTGCCGTTTGTGCATGTCATGTTTCCCTGTATGCTAATTTTTATGTTTTAGTATGTCCTCGTAGCCAAAAGTGATATTTTTAGACGACTCCTTTAGTGCGCACATGGATAAATTTAATTATTTATGTACGGTGAACTTGTACGAATGATTGAACAAATTTTTATCTCTATACCCCAAAATTGTTATTAACATGACCTATAATTAAATTCATCTTCCAATTAAGAGTATCAGCTCATTTATTATCGCTCGTCAAAGCTCCCACTTCAAATATATTTTATTACCTTATGCATGTGAAAGGTCACACTACAAGGACTACGTACAGATCCTAGCGAATTCCTCTAATTTACGGAAGTACAAATTGTATCGAAACACATTACAAAAAAAAACGCTTCCATGTTGATCAAATTAACCAAAAACAAGTATTTTTACCTGCGCTTATACCTTAACTTCCAGAAATGAAAGCAAAAGATCAGTATAACAATTTGTAAAGCATTATTTTCAACGATAATTGTATGTACACAAGTAACTCAGATAATACGTTTCCATAGCCTCGATGTAAATATTATCCTTATTTTATATAATACGTTCTGTTGTTTTGACTTCTCTGTATCCTAGTCATGCATTTTACCAAAAATTAACTAACGACGTAAGTTTATTATCGTGTACAGAGCTAATAGATGTAATGTCCATAGATGCTATAAACTGTCATATGATGTCACGTTTGTTTAAATCTTATCCTTATGAATGACTGAAGAATTCCTTGCGTGGCTTCACTGAAATTACTTAAGTTTCCCAGATCTTCACCTTCTGAAGATTTATCCTGTAATATTCATGTTTTAATGCAAGACAATTGTGTATGTTGCAATCGAGCATGATTATGCCGCCTCATAAAAGAACGTCCTAAGTGAAAAGTTGACACTTTTTTCTATCTTGTAGAATTATGAAAATTGCACGAGCATTGAATAAATTTCACTCTGATTGCAAATGAATAATGACAGTCTAGGCGTCATGTATTGGCACCTCTTGCAGATGAAATATTCAAATCTTACGAATTAATTTGCTTAAGTTCATCGCTGGACGGAGAATAAAAAAAAAAAGAAGTAATGACTTCATAAACGACTATATTATGGTCATGAATGAAAATAAAACGGTATGTTTTTGTACAAACATTCTCCGGGACATATGGGAGATTTATTTATCCGTTTATTATCTTTGAAATGAATAATAGTTAAAAGTTTGAGCTGAATAAAACAATTGTATAAATTATGACGATGTTCACAATTAAATGCGATAATAATAGAGTGAAATGAACATTTTGAATCTTATTTGTATTGTATATACCCAACTGACTACTCAATGTACAAATCACACGTGTACTTCATATAGTGGGTTTTTATCAAGTTGGGTTTTTATCGAGCTAAAGCGTAGAAGTCTCCTCGATTCCTCTATTTTATTACGTAGCGAAGAAAGTCTCGTGCAAACAATTCTCTCGTGTATCTTAGGAACCGGAAAATACACTTGGCACCTGACGATCAGGTACTTCGCGAGGACGAGACGCCACCGTCTGGAGTTACGGGTGTGTCAGCCTCAAGTCCCGAGTGTGCTGTCGCCAGGTCCCGGGTATGTCGGTCCCAGGTCCCGGGTATGTCGGTCCCAGGTCCCGGTTATGTCGATCCCAAGTCCTGAGTATGTCGGTCCCGGGTATGCCGCCCCAGGTCCCGGGTATGTCGGTCCCAAATCCTAAGTATGTCGGTTCCAAGTCCCGGTTAAGTCGGTCCCAAGTCCCGGGTATGTCGGTCCAAGGTCCCGGGTATGTTGGTCCCAAGTTCTGAGTATGTCGGTCCCAGGTCCCGGGTATGTCGGTCCAAGGTCCCGGGTATGTCGGTCCCAGGTCCCGGGTATGTCGGTCCCAGGTCCCGGGTATCCGAGTATGTCGGTCCCAGGTCCCGGGTATGTCGGTCCAAGGTCCCGGGTATGTTGGTCCCAAGTTCTGAGTATGTCGGTCCCAGGTCCCGGGTATGCCGCCCCAGGTCCCGGGTATGTCGGTCCCAAATCCTGAGTATGTCGGATCCAAGTCCTGATTATGTCGGTCCCAGGTCCTGGGTATGTCGGTCCCAAGTCCTGAGTATGTCGGTACCAGGTCCCGGGTATGTCGGTCCCAGGTTCCAAGTATGTCGGTCCCAGGTCCTGGGTATGTCGGCACCAGGTCCCGGGTATGTCGGTCCCATGTCCTATGTATGTCGGTCCCAAGGCCTGGGTATGTCGGTCCCAGGTCCCCGGTATGTCAGTCCTAAGTCTTGAGTATGTCGGTCCCAGGTCCCGGGTATGTCGGTTCCAAGTCCTGAGTATGTCGGTCCCAAGTCTTGAGTATGTCGGTCCCAGGTCCCGGGTATGTCGGCACCAGGTCCCGGGTATGTCGGTCCCATGTCCTATGTATGTCGGTCCCAAGGCCTGGGTATGTCGGTCTCAAGTCCTGAGTATGTCGGTCCCAGGTCCCGGGTATGTCGGTCCCAGGTCCCGGGTATGTCGGTCCCAGGTCCCGGGTATGTCGGTCCCAAGTCCTGAGTATGTCAGGTCCCAGGTCTCGGGTATGTCGGTCCCAGGTCCCGGGTATGTCGGTCCCAAGTCCTGAGTATGTCGGTCCCAAGTCCTGAGTATGTCGGTCCCAGGTCCTGAGTATGTCGGTCCTAGGTTCTGAGTATGTCGGTCCCAGGTCCCGGGTATGTCGGTCCGAGGTCCCGGGTATGTCGGTCCCAGGTCCCGAGTATGTCGGTCCCAGGTCCCGGGTAAGTCGGTCCAAGGTCCTGGGTATGTCGGTCCTAGATCCCTGCTTTGTCGGTCCCAGGTCCCGGGTATGTCGGTCCCAGGTCCCGGGTATGTCAGTCTCAGGTCCCGGGTATGTTGGTCCCAGGTCCCGGGTATGTCGGTCCCAAGTCCTAAGTATGTCTGTCCCAAGTCCTAAGTATGTCGGTCACAAGTCCCGGAAATGTCGGCCCCAGGTCCCGGGTATGCCGGTCCCAGGTCCCGGGTATGTCGGTCTAACGTCCCGATTATGCCACCTTTAGGTCCCGTGGATGCCGGCTCTAAGTCCCGGGTATACTTGCTCCAGGTCTCGAATAGGCTTGATCCAGGTCCCGGCTATGCCGGCTCCAGGTCTTGTTATACTGGCTCCAGGTCCCGTGTATGCCGGCTCCAGGACCTTGGTATGCCGGCTCCAGGTCCCAGCTATGCTAGCTTCCAAGTGACCCCAGATGCTCCGGTGATAGCGGCGACTGTGAAGGCTTTGTGATGAGTTCGTCTGGCTTTTCGAGGAATATTGTGGACTTGTGTGTTATTTAGGTACAGTGACGTGTTTCGTGTGGACTTGTGTCTTATTTAGGTACAGTGACGTGTTTCGTGTGGACTTGTGTCTTATTTAGGTACAGTGACGTGCTTCGAGGATGCGCGCGTATTATTTAATCGACGGCTTCGAGACCCTGATATAGTGCTTCTTTTAATGTAACGAACCTTATCGTTCACAAAGCTAAGAAATATATTTTTAGAACTATTTCAGTTGTAAAATCGCTGTTAAGAAACGAATATCCGATCGTTTTAACCGGATTATTGCGGATTAGAAGCAACCAATAAACCGTTAATCCCCAAGATCACGCCTTGATAGCATAAAATCCCATCGTTCGAGTCGACTCGGTGCGCAAAAGCAAGTTTGCACGAAGCTCCCCGCGGCTGCAGCGTGCCACCCCTGTTGAGAAATGCACTTTATCGGCTATCGTCGCCAAGGCCAGACGGCCATCCTACAGCTTTACGGCCCCAAATGCAACCTGGCAAGACAGCTTTGGCAAATCTTCGGTGTATCATAAGCTGGTCCATCCATCACCCGCCCTTGCAGGTCAGGCAGCATTAACCTTCCTCAGTAGTAATTAGTTTCTCGTTCCTGACGCGGAGAAGCGATGGTCACTTCATTAGAGCTTTTAATGATCCTCGGCATGGGCAAGAGTGGAGATCATTTCTTAACGGTCTCATTGTATTTCAAGTTCTATTTGTTATTTCCCGCAAGTTCTGCCGATTCACCATGCGAGGTCAGCTGTCGCACGCAATTCTGGAGACCAAATGCAGGTCAGTCGTCGCCGGCTTGGGCCACGCACAAAATTCCTCTGTGAATATAATTTTTTTATGACACGATTAATGACTCAAAAATTCATTTCCTTTGTTTCGAATCTAATAAAACAATTAGGGAGATAATTTCGCTTCCCTTAAATGATTTTCTAAAAGAGAATTAGGCTGATTCAAAGGTTCAGGTCTTAAGTTGGCCTCTAGGTTTGAGAAGGATCATGAAACGAATTATCTACATGGGATACTTGGTGATAAAACGTTTTCTGCCACAATGTAGCTAATACGAATCTTTTTTTTATCATCTGTATTTGATACAGTCCTGCAGGCACCGGTAATTGACTTTGTATTCGTCTAAGTAAATTAGTTCGTACCTCGTAACTCATAATCCATCTCGAATGACATGATTGGCTAATAGACTACCTGAAATGACACGGCGCTGGACAAGGACTGTTAAAATAGGAAGAACGGCTTGCATGCACACTAGGAACGTGCTGAGATATTCACAGGTCTTACCGGTAGCTTAAATTCTTAACACAATCAGTAAAGAATTCGTTTCAAAAATTGGAAGTGGTTAATATTATATCAGCGGTAGTTTCGTTTAGATATGTACGTAATAATAAAATAATACTAATTTTTGAGACAAATGAAATGTGCGGAATACAATTAAGGGCTAAGTTGTGCTTAGCCAAGAAGAATCTTAAAATTTGTCTTGTAGATTACAAGCGTAGAAGAAATGGGAATTGTGTTTGCAACAATTAATCTACGTACCTTCAACTGTCCATCTAACGCAGCCTAATTGGAACTGCTACGCAACGTGGAATTCTTGCACGAACTTTTTAGGGCACTCGTTAACCATGTTCGTGAATAAAATAGACTTGAATCGTATGAATTAATTACGTAGTGCCTGTTGTTACCCGCGTAATTGATAATAGTTCTTGGTATTTAACGAGCATTCGCTAGATATTTGGTTAACTAAATGCTACTAAAAGTAGTTAATGCCAAGCCAAGTTTCTTTTTGCAATCAAGGGTAGCTACGGCGGCTCTT